AGAGAGAGAGAGAAACAAATGCATATACATTTATATATACATAAAGAGAGAAAAAGGATAGTGGAATATGAAGGATGAGAGACAATAACTGCTTAACCATTAATGAGTAATTATAATAAGTTACTTAATTAATTGACTTTTTAATGACGATGTATTAATATGATAAAAAATGACGTATTTATCAATGTCAAAATCAAAATTAGGTTCAGTTATAAATTATAATTGTTTTAGTTAGAATTTTGAGAAAAACATAAATACAGTGGATATAATTCATTTATTTTGATCTTATAAATTTGATAATTTACTTGATGGGAGGGTCTCATAAATATGTAATTAAAACTTATTGTTAACTTTAATTTCAATTGTCAACTTTTTTAGCTAGATCAAACAGGAGAAAAAACTTCGGTGGACGATTGCATCGTCTTTCATGATGCAACATTCGAATAGGGAGCAACCACCTCATCGGGTGACCCACTCTCATCCAATGATGGGAGAGCACCTTGGAAATTGAGGTGGAAAGAGAAAAAATCAAATCCCGAGTTGGTCTCACCTCATAGAGCGAGAGTGGGGTACTCAATGAAGTGATGACTTCTCATTCGACAATCACACCACTTAGGACAGTAAGATTGTCCAACTGAAGTTTTTCTCATCAAACAGAGGTTAAAATTGGAAGTATTTCCATTAATTATTGAAATCAAAATCTCCGTTTATTGAGGAAAAAGGGGAAAAAAATTGAAAAGAAAAGAAAATGAGGTGGTGAAATAGACCTTTGCGAGGTGTTCCACCACCAACCATGGAATCTTATTTGTACTGTTGACCACGACACCATCGACACGTGTGAGAGTGATCCACCATTACGTACATTTTAACATCCAAAAATCCATGTTCCTAATCCAACATTTGATCTAAGTGACTACCTTGGTTCGAATCGACCTATTAAGAAAAACGGATTAGTTAATGACAATGGTTGAGGTCGAATTCAATGCATGTTTGACAAGTTTGTAAGCATTCAAAAGTTTAATCAAGTTAGTACTTTGCACTACAACGATGAAGTAACTCAAAAAGCCAAAGTCATACTTCCAGAAAAACTCGAATGACTTTTAAACAAAAGGGTACTTGTACTGTAATTGTAATTGCAGTTTTTTTTTTCTTTCTCGTTATTATTCTGTTATTAATTAACTGTACAATATTCGGATCAAGGACTTCTCACTTTCGAAATAGGCCTAAGGATATGTCATTGGACACATAGGAAGGAGGATATGATGAAAATTGTAGACGCTATGGATTTACTTGGTACGTATCTTGGCATGAAAATCTAGGAGGTGGTAACTTTCAAATTCAGAGAAACCCCAAAATAAATAAAAATGGGGATCCAGAACTTAAAATTAATCGTGTGTTACAACTCTAGCTATGAAACGAGACAAAAGTCATAAAATTTCGTCATGTGGGCACATAGAATTGATTTCGCAAACCAAATTTGATGAGCTGTGGTTAGGCTGGAAGGAGACGTGCCAGACCAAGACTTTGGCTTTACAAAAGGTCAAGGTGGAGAGGAGCCTACACAATTTGTGGCCTAATTAATTTTCTGGTTCTTTTGCATTTCTGTAAATAAAATATAAAACAATTAACTAACAAATTGTAAATATATAAAAATCAGTCAATGGATTTCATGTTACTTGGAATATGAATAACCTCACAAATATTTAATAATTAAAAAAAAATACTTTGGAATTTGTAGAAAAATACTTTAATTTGACAAAAAGACTAGAGAAGTTGACCTTTCCATTTTTATTTTTATTTTTATTTATTTATTTATTTATTTTTATTGAGTGTGGCTGACCCTAGAAGGCATGGTTATATTTGATTGCAAACGTTTGTATTTATTTTATTAGCACGGGGAGATCTTAATAATTAAATTGTAGCTTTTTCTTCAAATTGTTGTTCTACAGCAATAAAAAGCTTAATAAAGAATATTTTAATGCCAGTTTCATAGAGGCTGTCGTGTCTAAAAGAACAAAATGTTGGAGTTACTCGCAAAATGTGATTGTCACACCTTTAAAAGCAATTATAGATTATTTTTTGTATGATCGACTCTTTCTTCCTTGTTTTCTACTAATTTCAACCTAGAAGTTTATTTAGCTCCTATTTGACAATCATTATTTCAATTTATTTTTTTACGTTCTCATTTTCAACTACACATTCATACAATAACTATTTTGCATGTAAACTTAAATTTTTTTCCTAATTTTTAATCACATTTTCTTAAAAATCACTATTCAAAACATTGTTTTGGCTAAATAATGATCATCAAACGGGGGGCTTAAGGTACATGCAAAAGTATTGTCGTCCCTATTCTCATTAACAACTAAAGTTTTTATTGTTCATTTATGACTCAATCCCGTCAAAGAAAATTTTTGCACGCCTTCATTGCCTTTTGTTATAATATATGGTTCATATAGAGCAAAAAACATGTATACATACTGCAAAAGCTAAGATGATGTTGAAGTGGAGTGGAATGATGGTGTCAACCTTTTGAGCTTGTAATCCACTGTTTGTTTGTCATGGAAGTTTAATAGGTTGGTGGTGTGGGGGCGGTGGTACGGTATAGGGGTATTTTTGTGTTCGCATTCGTGGATATCTACTGTCAACCCCATAAATCTATGTACTTTTCTACTACTTTCTCCACGTTGATTCCATATTTTTCATCATTGTTGCCTTCACAACACAACACCTTTTGAGAAGCATACATCCATAAATTTTTTACATGAGAGCATTCATTAGATTCCTGCATTATAATATTAACTGAAATATATGTTCTAATAATAATAGCAACAACAACTTGCTTTGTCATTCTTATTTTCACTGCACCTTACTAACTGGAATACCATACGAGGAATTGAATTCCCACCAAATTCAATTTAATTTTGCTTAAAGAGGATTTCGTAGTTGGGGCGGTTTGTTCGGGGTTTCTTCTCAAACCGGTTGATTCTGCTGGGCTTTGAGTGGTTCAAATGCATATCGGTTCTTTAGTGCAATTCGTTTCGATTTTTATAACCATGCTAGGTCTTGTTTGAACTGTCTAGAAAATTACTGTAAGGATATATTGGTAAAATAAAATTCTAAAAATTAAGGAAATTGACAAAAATAAAACTCCCGTTTTGATCAAAAAATAAGAAAAATCTTGCTTGACTTTTAGAATGTTTGTCAAAAATTATAAGACTCTTCTTATAGTATCCAATGTGCATTGCTCATCGATTCTCGATCATAGCTTAGATGCTATACTATCTTGAAAAATTGTTCATGAATGTTAACTTTCAAAAATTGATAACAGTCTTCTCGTTTCCGATTGTCTTCTCTTAAATAGGTTCAATTAGCTAATATTTGCATCATACCATCTCCAAAATATTTAGAGACCTTTTTCTTAGGTTTTTGAAATGAGGAAATTACAGGATTCCCGGTATTTAAAGATGTGAGTGCAAAAATCAAGTGCAAATGTTTTTTAATCAGAAATCATGTATTATTTATATTCACACTACCTAATCCAAACAAACCCTAATCATTTTTTCATATCCTCATATTTTTCACTTCTCGCCTCCTTATGTCTCTCTCTCCACCGTCTCCCTCTCTACCCTCTCTCTTCCTCAAACCTCCATCATCGTTGAAGAGCACCGCCGCCAGAGACGTGGGAGTTGAGCGACGACATAATTGCTGCGGTGCAGCGCCCTCGTAGGCGGTGTTGTGAGCAATCTGGCCAGTCGAAATCGTCACTCGTTGATCTGAGCACCGCGAAGTCAGCGCTCATAGCAGCGTCATCGTGGCTGCACTGTGCGACCATCTAGTCGATGACGATGCAACAGTGGCTCGATGCGCAGAAGTGTGTAAAAGCCGGTTTGTTGGTGCGGTGTGAGTGGAAGCCGGTTTGTGTTGGTGGCATGTGATGTGAGTTCTATGTTTGTGGAAGTCGATTTTGTTGGTGCTATGAGGGTGTTGTGGTGTGGTGCAGTGTGGTGATATTCGTATTTTAGGCGGTGACAGTGTTGGTGGTGGATCTAGAGGCGGCAATGGTGTGGTTCAGACAACGATGGTGGTTTTTTTTTTTTTTTTTTTTTTTTGGTGGGGGGGTGGATCTGGTTGCGTTGATTTTGTTGAAGTTCGTGTTGGCGGTAGCGACGGGGGTAATGGTGGTTACAAGTGACGGTGGTGGCAGTGGAGTTAGTGGTGATCGGCTATTTGATCCGTGACCTTAAAATTTGATCATATGTGACTAAAAAAATGTAATATGTGATTATCAAATTTGAAAATATGTGACCCGTGATTATAATTTTTTGGATTTGTGACCTATAATTTTTTCATCTGTGACCTCGACATAATCTGTAACTTATCAAAATTGTGATTTGTGACCTCGAAAAAATCTATAATCAATTAATTTGATGATATGTGACTGATAAATAAAATATGTGATCTATAATTGTAAATATGTGACCATGAATAGTATAATTGTGGCTTTATTATCATTATTTAATAAATATTTTTAATTAATTAGCTAAAACCTGATTTTTGCACTAAAGAAACTTATAATATGGATTTTGAATTGGACATAGTTAACACCTGATTTATGAACTCTTCCCTTTTGAAATATCATTTCTCCAGTCCTAATTAAAATGGGTTCCATATTAGATCCATAACTAGGCCCATATTCGAATTGGGCCTTGGATGATCTTTAACACTGTACTTTGTCTTACAAATATATAAAATACCTTTTCTCATTGCAAATTAATATTTCACATTTACCTCCCTTTATAATTTTTCTAAGTATACCTTATCTTTAAAAAAATTAATATTTAATTTTCACTAAAAATCAGTATTTTTTTACGAGCTACATGTTAGGGTAGCATATGTGTTAAATGTATGTCGACACTACAACTACAAAACATGAGTAACAGATTATGTTAATCATCCAAAATCACTCTACATTGTTGTTTGTCGTGACCACCACAATCACAAAACACGAGTACATTGTGCTACTCATCTAATATCATTAAATACCACTATTTGCAACCATCATAGGCTAGACCTATGCTTATCATTCTTTTCTCTCTGGGCTTATGGATGAGGGAGGGAAGGATACGTCAAATAAGTCAGTATCCTTACGCCTAATAGGTTCCTCAAGGCAAGGTTAGTAGTTTAGCTTTCAAGCTTTAGAATGAGAAAATAAAAAAGAGGGAGGATAATTCTTTCTATAGCTAAGGAAAGAAGGCTGAGAAATGAGCTTGACCCTCCATTCTAGCTCTTGTTTTTTAGAAGTCAATCGGTCTTATAAGAGAGAATAGATTAGGTTCCCTAACTCGTTCAATAAGTAGAGTTCAATCAAGTTATTTCATTTCGTGAATACAGCTCATGTGAGACCTCCCATCCTATCTACCTAACAGCATATATGTGACGAAGACTTTTCTTTGAGTCCATATATGTATGAAGTGAGTAACTTGACCCTTACCTGAGAAGCCAGTTATAGAGCATAACCAAACCTCTTCTCTCCATGATAGCCTAGTCCCTCATAATAAGTCAAAGTACAAGTTGGAAGCAAA